TCCACTTCGTTCTACCACTAAACTATTCGGTCAGCTTCTCTACTAAGAATTGATGTATCGACTGATGATAGTTGTGTACTAAGTACTGATTGATGTTATCTACATTAAAACTTTCTAATTATTCTCATAATGTTAAATTAAGCACAATCATACTTTGTAATTATCAGTGTTTATTGTATTATACAACCATAATACTGAAACAAAATAACTAAAGAACAATGAATTCGATAGTTCATTAGATTGATATTTAAAAAATGTTTGTATGGTGTGTGCTACTGATGTCGACAGATATAAGTAGTATGTATCACCAATCGAAAGTGAAATACCTGGATGTAGAAGGTTAAGCAAATTAAAAATAAGAAAACAAGAACAAAGAATGATTGGTGTGGAAACGAAAGAACAATGAAATCTGAGATGATTGATTAACACTGTTTGTCTGACAGTTTGTGGATTTGCATATTCTATGATATTACACGCAATCCTGACATTTTACAAGATCTAAGGCAAAAAATCAAAATGAATAAAAAATTCAGCGATTTTTCAAGCACATTTAAGATGGCTAAATAAAGTGCATACTAGGTTTTCTTTTTAAGCTTTTACACAGTGCTGAATATCAAAAGTATTTTCGATAATCTCCTTCATTTCAGGAGAACATCATAGACAGAGTAGAATACATGAGTATTGTTATGTGTAAGATCGTTGGAAGAAGTATTCAAGAAGTCCTAAATCTAAACATAAATAATGCTGAAACTCATTCGGAAGTCTTCAATAATAGCATTAATTATCATTTGTAATAGGCGAATTGTACCTGTTTATGAAATTCAGGATGTGTGTTTTGTTCAGCTCGGTACTCGTCAGTTGGATATATCTGGATTCCGGTGTTGATTTTCTCAATAGATTTCTAGCTCAATACGTTTCACTCCACATGCCAATTTATCTGAAAAGTTATTGAGTAGAGATAGCTACAAGCTTATTCAACAGTTAAAATACTTATAATATAGGGTTGGTTTTTGAAGCGAAAGCTACTGTATTAGGGTCCCTTTGTGAAAATCTAAATTGGGATTTATCTATATCGAACTAAGGAGTCCTAAATAGGGTCAAACGAGCATTCTGGATTATGGTGTTAATCATAATTTGTTTTATTCTAGAAAAAATGTAACATATCAACTGAATGTACAAATTCCAACAAGGTTTATCAAATTCGATCTTGAATATCAACAATAGAATAACTCGAACCGATACAAATAATGACACGAAGTGGAGATGTTCATGATCGATTAGAAATGGAGTTGTAAGGATGAGAAAAAGTAAACTGATAACCAAATAAAATCTTATACATGCTATTTGCTTCTTCATACTTAACATAACTATGTAAATAGACATTAATTTAGTAAATGATCTTTATTCACTGACAGCTAAACACAATGAACTTCAGCCTATATTAGACGGTGTCTAGTGAAGGTTTGCTTAATCTTTAAGTTCTGTTTTGTCAAAGATTAACTTCAGTTGCGATTCAATTAAAAATCAGGACAACTATTTCGTCCTAGATAAGAACTTTTCACAGCCCTATTATAGATTGAACTGGGGACCTTAATGTCCCTTCGAGAAAGATCAGCCACTAGAACAACTGAATGAGTGTCTAATAGAACAATTTCAACTCCGGTCCACTTGTGATGTGCCGTCACCATCATCCAATGCCATTTCTGAAATTTTTTTATTTCCAAGATATCTGAATTACTCAAGGATTGCGTCGGAACATATAGATATTCAAGCATAAGTAGGAGTTCATATAATAGGTACCAACACTTTCACCTAAATATACTTGACATAAATAGAATGATATTAAATACTAAAACCGAACAGATAATTTGTAATGCGACAGGAACACAAATGCTATTCGTAATGCGATACTCATCTGCGGATATCTTCGACTACTATTCATAACTGCGAAAAAACATTTGATAAAGAAGTAAATAGTTTTGACAAGTAAAAACACATTGAGATTTATGCTGAAAGCCTCATCCGTTTATGAAGCATTAGCAACTGGGTTCAGGCTTCAAACACAACTATACGACGACCTACTAACTATTTGTAAGTAGGTAATTAAAAATATTGTCAAAAAGAGGATTTGCGGATATTATAGTAAATTAATAGTTGAGTTCAAGTGTCAATTGGAGCTAGACCACCATGGGGAAACTGGCAGGTCGATTCGTCCTAGTACTAAACTCCTCAGTAGTGTGTATCAAAAGATATCATAGTTTATTGATACAAACAGTATTAGTAGTAGTGTGGTACGATATTCGTCAACCCTAGTTACAGTTTGTTATTACTGCATATCTGATAAATATTCTTTATTGATATTCACCAAAAATTTTAAAGCTCACTTCATATTATCTGAAAAACATGAAAGATATCTTGTTAGAGTCTAAGGCCTTTGCAACTAACCTAATCATTAATTCAATCCTAGTGAATTGAGTTCAAACATTAGAACATCACAACAACTATAGATTCATATGTGTTTTGTAAAGGGTTAAAGTGTTACATCCTTGATCTTTCTACTCAACAATACACAAAAGATAACTTCTCGCACTCTTGATTAGGTCCTTGAACAATAAGCTAACTGGTTTAACCTCGAGGCTAGAAATGCGTGAGTTCGAAGTGAGACTAACTTCCTTTTGTAGAGAGGAAGACTATTCAATCAGCTAATTGGTTGAAAAGCGCCCGTGAGAAAAGACGAGCCAACTGGAACATCACATTTTTATACCTGATTCTGACTAGACACATAAATAAATAGATGAGTGAGACGATCATAACGTACCAACAATTAGAAAAGCACAATTATATCCAAAAGTATGAGTTTAGGTAGAAAATTAGAGTGAATCTTAACATACTAACTGATGTAGTAGTATTCTTTCTGAACTGATTAGGTTACGCGATTTTCACTGGCTCATCAAACTGTTTTTTTTTATCAGACAGATCAATCCAATTTATTTCCGTGTTAGGAATGTATTAAAATGTAGAACTACATATTCATCATAATTAGAGATCAAAAGTTGTTCTATAATTCTCCTACGATAGAATCAGTTAAACGGCAAGATTTCCCACCACGTATAACTTTATTTAGTGTGATAATATTAGGCTACACGAAAGCAGTATAGGCATCTTTAAAACGCAATTACAGCGTAACGAGTCTTGCGAAAGCTGGCACCGACGTCCCACTATTGTCGGTATTTCTACTGTTTATTCAGTAAATAATTGTAGTGCTTCATTCCCATATTATAAAACTCCAGTGGATCTAATAACTGCACGTTTCGTTATCCCTCATTCATTGCTAATAGTGTAATGGTTGCTTCGCCCTCTACTAATTATTACTTATTTGGTGTTCCGTGTTTAGTCTTTTCAAATAAATTATTGTATTATAGCAACTATCCTACAACTAATTTGGATTATGGATAATTTTGTCTAAGTCCTTTTATTAACTTACTTAGCAGATAATCTTATTTGAACATTAACAATTCGCATAATTCTTTGTATCGTTATGATCACTAGAGTACATGACACACAGGCTATAATGTTGATTGCTTAAACTGCGAAATCATGCATGGAGGATAGCTCACAGACTCGTTCGAAGCAAACACCGGGTGTCAGGCAAGGTTGCTTACTCTCACCCTTTCTCTTTCTCCTGGTGATCGACTGGATCATGCAGATGTCAACATCTGAAGGGAAACACGGGATACAGTGGACATTTCTGATGCAGTTGGATGACCTAGACTTCGCAGATGATCTGGCTCTTCTATCGCATACACAACAACAAATACAGAAGACGACCAGCGTAGCAGCAATAGGTCTCAAAGGGAAAAGCAAGATTCTCCGATACAACACAGCATGCAACATTCCAATCACAATTGACGGAGAAGATTTGAAAGATGTAAAAACCTTTACATATCTGGGCAGTATCATTGATGAACACGGTGGATCTGATGCAAATGTGGAAGCACAGATCGGCAAAGCAAGAGCAGCATATTTACAACTGAAGAACATCTGGAACTCAAAACAATTGTCAACCAACACCAAGGTCACAATTTTCAATACAAATGTCAAGACAGTTCTACTGTATGGGGTGGAAACTTGGAAAATCACGAAAGTTATCATTCAGAAGATACAGATGTTTATTAACAGTTGACTACATAAAATACTTCGGATCCGTTGACCAGACACTATCAGGAACAACCTACTGTGGGAGAGAACAAATCATATTCCAGTGGAGGAAGAAGCGCTGGAAGTGGATAGGAAAGCACCGAACTGCGTCACGAGACAAGTCCTCACATGGAATCCTGAAGGCCGAAGGAGGAGAGGAAGACTAAAGAACAGATTACTCCGAGAAATGGATATAGACATGAGAAAAATGAACAAGAACTGGATGGAACTAGAACAGAAGGCCCAGGACAGAGTGGGTTGGAGAATGCTGGTCGGCGGCCTATGCTCCATTGGGAGTAACAGGCGTATGTAAGTAAGTAACTGTCATATTTCCACTGAAACATCAGGAAATACAATTGAATCATCAGACTAGCTATCAGTACAATTAGTCATAACAATTAAATATGTATATACACCGCATAGATACATTTCTTATAGATAAACTACTTGGTACATTGAATGTTGTAATGTTAGACAGTTGACTGAAAACCCTGGAAATAATTTTCGCGGAAGTTAGCACTCATTACCGAGTCATACATAATCTCTACGGAACTAATGGTTTTTACTGGAACTCATAGACGAGTTACTCGGTTTCACTCTGAGACACTACTAATGTAGTCAATGTTAAACCTATCTACTTTTCTACTGCTGATTGAATTCTGTCAATCAAGTTGTAGTGTGACCAGTAATCTAAGCGATTTTATTTCAAGTGTACTGTAATGGACATATATATTACGTGGTTAAAGGTCGATTATATAATAGTCAGCATTTGTCACCAGCACAGAATGGTGAATAGTCATTTATCCAGTTAACAAAACTCATTAGACCATACTTTATTTCTTTACATGAACTCCTTTCCTTCAAAGGAGAAAGAACAAACATTTCTATTTAATAAATATGATTTACAGATATTTACAAAATAAGAAAAACACACGATTCTATTATGGATTTGTACAGAAACACTATTTGAATCAAACAATTGCTCATATTATTTCTTCTTTTTTCTAACAATGAAATTACCTAAAACATGCACGAAAAGGAAATAAATTGAAAATATAGGGAAAATAAATAAACAGTAATGTATTATTTCACATTGTATTGTTTTACTTGAATCTTCCCATTGATGTATAGGACTGAAATTGATCGGTCTCTTATTGGCATGTGTGCATACTGTGCGCACTGCCTCGATATTGCCTTAATTTACAAGCATTATAAGCAAAGATAGATAGTGGCTAGCAGTGGAATCCAGGAGACTGATCAATTTCAGTCTAAAACATCAATGGGAAGATTCAAATAAAACAATACAAAGTGAATTAAACTTCACCCCATTGCACAAGCAAGTGCCTATCAGAACTCAGTAGCTGAGTGGATAACGCGATGGCGTTTGAAGCGAATGATACTGGATTCGAGTCCTAGAGTGAACATCAACACTGAGATGCACGTACATCCAGCTGACGAGTCCTAAATAGGACGAAAAGTGCGTCCTGGATTCCACTGCTAGCCAATATCCATCTTTGCTTAGTAATATAGTATTATTATTACTATCCAATGGTTATTCAGTACTTCCAGGTTTTTAATGTTGGTCTAACTTAGATTGGCTGGCGAATTCAACTATGAAACTACTACTATCTTTACAAAATACCGTATTGATATTATTGACACATTACTACTAGATACCAGAATTTGAGCAACTTTTTAAGTATATGGGCTAAAGATGCTATGCATCTGTTTAAATAGAATTCACAATTTTCACTAAGTGATCGAAAGTGGAACACATCAATTCATAGAGTCATTCATGTTAGAACAAAGTGAAAAGTATTAGAGAAAATTACTTCTGAAAATGAGGCGAAATATCCTTTTCAGCCAATAATTGACTTAAACTAAAGATATACTTTAAATGAGACACAGAACATTGATATAGTTGGCCTAACTAAACAATTTAGTTTGGACATACATGAAAAAAAGCAAATCACTGATGCATATTGTGGAAATAACAATCGTAGAGGTTTTACATGACTAAAGTATTTTTTTCAGTTTTGCTAGTGGGATATCTATAATATGAGAAATCTTGACTAGATGCACTCCAACAATTGGTTTGATGGATAGCCACGGAGTATTCACTTTGGATAATATTTTAGCCTGACTGTACGTACTAGTGTGTACTCACAACACTGTAACAGGGAATCAGACCAAGGTCCTACGGATTAAGAATACCTGTAGTAGCTCCCACATGTCCAAGTACAGTCCTAAGTGGGGAGAGTCCGCTTTTCCTCTCCGAATGCTCTCACATAACCACGCGTATACAGCCAATGCAAGGGAAGTCCTACTCACATCGGGGTGTTATTTACGAAACTAAAAGGAAGAAAAGTAAATGTCCGGCCCTTTGACCGGGTTGACAGATACGGAGGATCCAACTAGGCAAGTCGAAAAACCGTGTTTCCAAAACCACTGGTGCACATGGGCTCCAGGATCCAGAGGGAACATATGGTGAACGAAACAATTGTTGGTCATCGACTACAACGGAACTGGACCTTTTAACATTGCTCCACTGTCTGGTGGATTGGACCTCTAGGTAAAAGTCTCGGGGAAAGACGTTCTAAGAAAACCACCTGCTTCTGTGTGTGCACCTGGACAGTATTCCAGCCCTAACATAAGTCGAATGACAAAATGTAGCACATTTATATACTGCGACTTCTATCAATGTTAGTGTATTGAAATAATCATCAATTTATGAAAACATGTTACACTACAAACATCATGTTTGCCACTTGAAGTACTTACTTTTGAATGCTTTTTTTGCAACTGATTTGTTAGATTTTTCATTGACTTTTGATTTCTTTTTATGTTTCTTTTCAGTTTTTTCATCTAATTGAAATTTAACCATCTTAGTATTTATTGGTTTTTCATCAGTATTAATGTCATCCTGTGTTGACAATTGACCAGCACGTTTCATACCTTCAAGACAAATAGCACGATGTGCTTCACGTTCAGCTTCATTCGCTAAACGTCGAGCTTCATGTTCAGCACGACGTTTTGCACGAAGTAGTTCACGTTGTCTTAAACATTCTGATTGATGAGCTAATTCAGATAGTGTACGTGTTTGCCAACGATGATATAAAACTGTACCAGTGTTTACACCCTCTTCTATCTGGTTAAAATATGAAAAAACAATTATTAACAGACAATATGAATTACGTTTTAATTAAATCTAACAAAATCAAAATGTCTGTTTAAATGAAAATGATATTAGAGACACCACTGAATGTTTAAGACAAAAAATAATCATAAATGAAAGGTTCAATTATTGTGTGTATAGTGTTACTTTCTTACGCCTGTTACTCCTCGTGAAGGAGCATAGGCCACTCACCAGTATTCTCCATCCAACCCTGTCCTGGGTAATCTTTTCCAAATCTTTCCAGTTGTCATATCTGCTTATATTTCCCGACGTAATATGTTCTTTGGCCTTCCACTTTTCCGCTTCCCTTCAGGATTCCAAGTTAAGGCTTGGCTCGTAATGCAGTTTGATGATTTACTCAATGTATGTCCATTTCCATCGTCTTTTCCTAATTTCATCTGAAAGCTGGTTTGTTCTCTCTCACAGAAGGCTATTGCTGATGGTATCCGGCCAATGAATGCCGAGTATCTTGCATAGACAACTATCTATAAATACTTGTACCTTCTTGATGGTGCTTGTGGTAGTTCTCCACGCTTCAGCTCCGTACAGTAGAACTGCCTTGACGTTCGTATTGAAGATTCTGACTTTGATATTGGTTGAAAGTTGTTTTGAGTTCCATATGTTCTTCAGTTGAAGAAATGCCGCTCTAGCTTTGCCAATCCTCGCCTTTACGTCTGCATCTGATCCTCCTTGTTCATCGATGATGCTTGCCAGGTATGTGAAGGATTCTACATTTTTCAGAGTTTCGCCATCAAGAGTGATTGGATTGCTGTTCTCCGTGTTGTCTTTGAGGACCTTGGTTTTCCCTTTGTGTATGTTGAGGCCTATTGATGCAGAGACTGCTGCTACTCTGGCTGTCTTTATCTGCATTTGTTCGTGTGTATGGGATAGGAGGGCTAGGTCATCTGCGAAGTCCGAATCGTCTAATTGGTTCTGAGTTGTCCATTGTATTCCGTGTTTTCCCTCAGATGTTGAGGTCTTCATAATCCAGTCGACCACCAGAAGAAAGAGGAAGGGAGAGAGTAGACAGCTTTGTCTTACTCCTGTCTTTACTTGGAATGCATCTGTCAGCTGTCCTCCATGCACTACTTTGCACTGTAATCCGTCGTATGAGTTCCGGATAATATTGACAATCTTCTCAGGAACTCCGTAGTGTCGAAGAAGTTCTCCTATCTACACTGTCAAATGCCTTTTCATAATCAATGAAGTTGATGTACAGTGACGAATTCCACTCAACTGATTGTTCGACGATGATCCGTAGTGTCGCAATTTGGTCTGTGCACGACCGATCCTTACGGAATCCAGCTTGTTGATCTCGAAGTTGAGCATCTACTGCGTCTTTCATCCAGTTTAGTAACACTCTGTTAAAGAATATCCCTGGTACTGACAGTAGTGTAATGCCTCTGTAGTTTTCACACTTGCTCAGATTTCCTTTCTTTGGAATCTTGGTGAGGTGTCCTTCTTTCCAGTCCAGTGTGTATAGTGTAAGTGAATATTAATTTCCACACTGTGAAAGGTGATTGTTGTATCCGAAAAACATTCAATTATATATAACTTCCGGGAACTGCTTACAAACTCTTTATATATATATAGTATAGTATAACTATCAAGTAACTAGATATATCTATTTGTATTCCTTTTATACATAAGCTTTCATTTGACCTAGTGGCTAATTTGATAGGATTTACTATAATCAACTAATTCCCAATCTGTTAGTTACAGTTTCCTATAATCACAACCAGTTTTGGCTTAACTTCCAAGAATTATTATTTTTGAATTTATGGTGTGATGATGTCTGGTTTGCTTGTATATAAACTACGTATGTCGAAATACATTATTCATATAGTGGGAGCTGATATTGGTGTTCTGGACTAAACGGGAAGGGTAAGGCGAGAAGGACCAATAAAGATTCCGAGTTGACACAAGACTACAAGTACTGTTTTGACGCGTCATTGGTTTGACCTTTCAGTACTTTCAGGTTTTCAATAGTGGTTTAGCTAAGATTGGATTGTGATGTAAGACTATAAAAATCCCATTATCTCCACAAAATCCTATACTGATATTGAATATATTTTAGAAGTATACCTTTTATTAGTTAAACTTGTTTCGCTACACCTTGTAGTGGACGATTCTACTCGAACTTTACACAACACGATTAGGTCATTTGATGATATTGAACTGAGTGAAAAAATAGTTTGATCTGTCTAATCACTGGATAAGAATACTGATATATAACGTTGATGGTGTAGTGTTGGTTGCTATGTCAAGCTCACACAGCTTATTCAACCATCTGAATAGGCCAATCTATTGGTTCTTAATGAGTCACATTTTGACCTTGTTAATTATTCGCTTATCAACCTTGGCTATTTTTACGCGAGCGAATGTGTGTGCATTTCTCATTTTACTAATCACATGTCTGTAACTTATTTTTGTCTGACTATAAATATAAATTCACACTTGATTAGATCGAGTTGGCTAACATGTCTTCTCCAATCTGTTTTGCTTCGCTCTTTCCTCTTTGCTTCCCACTATCCCTCGCTCCGATTGTATTTTTCGATCAACGATTGTATGAAATATAGGTATTCGAAATCAATTCCCGTATTTGACTTATTCAGTTCCGTTATTCGCTCACGTAATCTAAGTCGATGACTATATACGAGGACTGGCTGCATGTATATATCAATAACGATCAGCACATGATATAAAGGGGGATACTGGGCCATAAAAATAGTTCGAAATGACAGAATGAAAAGGTATGTATGAAAGAATAGTGAAACTCAAGGTCTAAAGCAAGATAAATGAAGTATCTATGTACGCCACTGTGGCCGATTCTGTGCCATGATATCCAATATTTCAAACTATTGATTGTGGTTATTGTGCTAGTCCCCAAACACCCTGATACAGCCGAGAGTGGCGAGGGCCTGTCCTCACTCTCAAAATACTCTTGCACGGCCACGCGTATACAGCCTCTGCTAGGGAAGTCCTACCCACTGCCTTCTCTTGGTGAGGGTGTTGTTTACGGATATGAAAAGACAAAAGCGAATGTCCGGCGCTTTAACCGGATCGGTGGACAAGGAGAGTCTACCTAGAGGAGTTGGGAAACCCTGATTCCAAACCAATGGTGCACGTGGGCTCCAGTATCCTGAGGAAACGAATGGCGTATGAACCAATTGTAGGCCACCGGCTACCATGGGACTGCATCTCCTGACGTTGCTACACTGCATTGTGAGTCAGACCTTTAGGTCGAAGGTTCCGGTTGTGGCCCCCTAAAAAAAGAATCTGCTTCGGCCTGGGCACCGGGGCAGTATCACAGCCCACACACAAATGAAATAAAATGACGGTTATTGTGCAAACTCAAATTAGGTAGCTTGAATCTACCCAGATAGCTTAAACTATAACTGATATCAACTGATGGTGTTTTCAGGTTACTCTCTCTCCCTCTACTGACTAACATTTATTGACAATGCAAACAATAGTTAAGCACATATTACGAAATTTTAGACCACCTCAATATGCAATATTTCGATGACTGATACGATTAAAAAGATACAGCTTTCACATATCTTCTAATTTCCTATTTCAGAGCTACAGAGTAATACACATGCACTGCTCCACCACACAATCACATTTTGTTTAGCAGACAGATATAACTAACTAGACATATCTCATATATGCGTTAATTCAATACAAACACTGATGAAACTACAATATTAAAGGAAAATATGAGTAAATTAAAAGAAAAATTTATACCAATTTACTTTAATTAAATTTAAAGTAATTCTTGGTCCAATTTCAGTAAGACGAATTGTAGCTTTTTTAGCTGAACCTAAATGTTTTAATCCATGTATTGAACTAGTGCCATAACCATGTTTACGTTTACGTAAATGTATAGCATCTGCGTTAGCGAATCCAGAACTTGACAGTTGAACATCTGAAACAAGATCAACTTCTTCCATATCTGACAAAATATCTGATAATGCTGAATCAGATAAAAGTCCTGTTCTATAAACGTAAACAATAACATTAATGATAATGATTGGTTAAATTCCATTAAGAACGTATATGTGTGTGTGTGTACGTACATTATAACACAAAATATACATAAAATCAAAGGTTTTCAACTAGCCACTTTTTATAATCAAAAATGGACGGTGGTCAGTGCAATCCAGGACGCGTGGTTCGTCCTGTTTTGGGACTTCTCAGCTGGATGTATTTACATCCCAGAGTTGATGCTCACTGCAGGACTTGAACCCAATAATGCTTGTGATTTAAGGCTATATCCAGGCTGGAGCTGGGTGACACGATAGCGTATCCACCAGGCAGCATCCATCTCCTTAGGATTTCACCTTACTGATGAGTGCCAAACAGTACGAAACCTTGCGCAACGGTTTCCTCCAACCAACACATTACATAGTTGACACTCATTAACAAGTGTTTCAAGAATGTTGATGAAAATGAACAAGGACGTTAAGTAGTATCATAATTAAAGATATAACTGATAAATTATTCAAGCTTTAACATAAATGTTTTAGGATTGAGATTGCCGCTAACCAAATAAAACCCAACTGTTACAAAGAAGACAACGTGAAGAAATAGTGAATGTAAAGCAACTAATACTGATTTAATTGATGAACAGATATATCACTTTGATTAAAACATATTATTCATCTAAAAGTATTTTCAGTGAGTCATAAGCACTGCAGAACATTGAACACATGTATATCAATTAGACTTGACATATCAGTAAAGAGAGACGAGATTATCAGTAGTCAAATCCGAAGAGAGACTACGACTGAATGCATCAACGCTATTGCCATTGATTTTCAGCCTTGTCACCCAATATCACTAATTAGATAGTCTTTACCTAAGTACACGGATTAGTCCAACAGTCAATGTCCTTATTTACTGATCCGACGTTTTCGAATGACTGACACTAGATTTCTTTCAACTTCCTGCAGCGACAAATATTTAAAGTTACTTTAGTATATTGAACATTACAAAAATGATCATTCTTCAAAGCAAAGATTACTTTCTTACTTAGTCAAAAAATCGTCCATAGATGAATATTTCGCTAAATTTGGTACACCTGTTGCTTTTCCTGAACCACTTGGACCAATTCCACATTTCATATCAGAGTTATCAACACATCGACGTTTCATTTTTGCACCGCCAACACCAAGACGTCGTAGTGCACGGCTTATACAACGATTTTCAGTACGAATATGAAAGTGTCGAATGTAAATTACATCATTCACTTGCTGTGGTTGCTGCTGTTTTGTGTCGTCACCAGTACAAACACTACTACTACTGTTGTCATTAGTAGTAGTATTAAGGTATGCAGTGTCAACTTCTCGACTAACAAGTAAAACTCGTTTTACTGTACTAAGTTTAAGCTAAATAAAACAAATATAGTAAGAAAAACTATTAAATGGTAACGGAAAAACGAGAGTGTTAAGGCAGGAGTGACATATCTGAGCATCAAACACTGATTTTAACAAGTGACTTAACAAGCTGAAAAACACTTTTAATTTTCTTTCCGTTTATTGCTACCAGATGGTGATATCTTTGGGATATAGACGTGATTCACTAGATTCTATTTTATGTCAAAGTTTATTTGCCATGCGAAACATCACTGGCCACAATTTTATGCGCATATTTAGTACAGACGAAAACAATTAAATGGCTCAATGGTCGATTGGATGGTTTAAGCTTGCTGAATGATCGTTTGCATTGAAAACTTCAGCGTTCAGATGATGTTATTAATTAATCTAATTATTAAACAACATATTTCTCTTTAATTTAACGGAATTGTAAATGAGAGTGAGTTTTTATTTATCTTTCATGAAACCGGCTGGTTCTTTGTTTTATCAATCTGCTATTATGTGTATTGACAGATATCAGAGTAATGAATACATAATATTGATACTACAATTAACATGAAAACTATTGATGAATTACTAAGTTGTAAAGTAGATAATATGACGGAAAAAACGTATACAGATGGTTGACATCGCTTGAAGTCAATATGATCTAGACATAATTACAGGAGAGAAGTTTTATGATTGGCGTCTACTTTGATCATCAATTGGTTCACTTATACTCTCAATAGTACTGGCGGGTGACATTCTAATTACTCATTGATAAAGTAATCACTGAACAATGCTCAATACCTCAATGTATACTGGTCATCGGGCTTCTCTTCTGACCCAGTAGCCAATCAGAAGACAATAATAAGGAGCAGGTCAGTTCTAGATTATACACAATTCAATCATTTATCAAAAATCACACAATAATATACTTGGAATGTACGACCACACAACGATACAGTTATGAAATCTCATTGTGTACATACGTCATCACTGATATAAAACTAGAGTATTGCGAAAAATCATTAACTAGTGTTAAGTTTGGAACGATTAAGAGTATAACGAGTAATAGGTTAAACAAAAGCTTAGAAATAGGTAAGTATCAAAACACAATAATACAAGTAACAAAATACCCACTAAATCATTTGGTTTACAGAAGTGGAGGGGCCTGAGGGGCAATATACATTAAAGTCTTGAGTGTTACATATATTGCAAAAAGTTAACAAGAAATCGGTGAAAACAATACAAAACAAACCTTCGGAACATTTAATGGAGGCAGTAAATTTTGAAACATATCTACAACTAAACGTAGATGTGGTAATGGAGCGGATGTATTCGCACTCGTACCACCCATACCAAATCCAGTCATTACTAACAAAGGCGGTGAACTATACTGACGACTATCGAAAACTCGACGAACCAGAGTTTGTATATCACGTTTCAAGCTATATTCAGCAACACGAAAAGTAAGACTAGGTCCATGAGGAACACGAATCATATGTAGATAGACACCGCCGTGGCTACTACAACTTTTATTAGTTACTCCTTGAATTTCAGTGGTATCTGATTGAGAGAAAAAAGTGACAGTATAATATATTTAAGTCACAGAAATAGAAGTCATAACGATATGTTCAACTTACGGTTAATCATTTCAATTGCTCTGGAAACTGTAATGTTTGAAGAAATCCAATGTAAATACCACGTTTGCGTTAGTACACAAACTACAACACACCGGGCAATAAAATAAAAATCTGAGGACTACATAACCTCTGATGAACACGAACCTATTTACTGATATTCATATTTTGTGCTAATTCGCGAAAATAGCCTTGATCGATATAAATCGAATTATCTGAACTATATAAGTCATCGTCGGAACTTTCAGTTTGATCGTAAAAAGTTAACTGCATAACGCCGATGTTTAAAGAGTTCTTAAGTTGGACATGTCAAACTTAATTACTTTACATTTTCTGTCAGGCATCTCGTCTGATTCAACTCACTTTTTGTGCATTACTTTATACTACTTATTAATGTTCAGTAACCAGTTTCATAGTGTAATTTACTACAGTATTTATATAAACTACTAACACTCGCTGTATTTTTTTGTATGATTACATTCTCTTAACTTTTGTAACTGTTAATTCCAGTTTTGTACATTTGCTGAATATTCGTTCAAATGCAACAGCTTTCATATTTTTGTACTTTTAGTCCACATTCTGATTGTTGATAACATTAGAAGCTGTCAGCAATTATTTCCGCTATCATGTGTTGTACCTACTTATGTGCTATCATTACAGAAAACCTTTCTCTTCCCAGATATACACACGCGTTATTTGCTATAGGCTGAGATTTATGATCAACTCACGAATATATTCCTAAATAACAGAACCGTTCATTATAAAAATCGTTATTTCTAAATCTCAGTTACACATGTATATCAATTGTGTAGATTTAGCACTTGGATTCTCATTAGAAATGAGGAGATATACTACAGTATCTGCAAAAGCGGTCTGTCTCTTTGAAATCATGACTTGGAAAATTTAATCATTGGCTGATAGGCGAATAACAGAAATCAACCATGGAATCTACACGAATAGATAAGCCTCGAAATGTAAATCAATTAACCCAGCAAGCTATTAGAAAATAACATGCATGATCACTGGCATTACCACTGACGTAGCAGAACCATTCAATAAACGAAAAAGCAATTACAATGAAATAAATCATCAAATAAAATGTGAAATTACGAACTTTGTTCAATTGAACAGTTGTCATTTTTTAACTGTTTTACAGAAGCTTTAGCTAATCGACGGGCACGCTTCTGTTCACGTTTCTCATCATTAGGGTGTGTGAAATATAACAAATGTGTTACGTTCAGTGGACCAGCGATTGTAATAAAATCTTTGAGCACATTTTGACGGGTCACACGTAAACGGCTAGCTGTAAAGGGTTCGAAAATCTCTCTAACATCGAGAGATAATTGTTTCACTAAACTCCCAACACCAGGACGTGAAAAAACCATGGTATGTGGGGTTTTGGTGTAACGTTTTTCCTCCAATGCAAGCGCTGCATTTCGTGCATTCCGCACCGACTTTGGACGTTTCTTATGTACCATTATACACAAGAATATACTGAAATAAACAACAAAATACTTGATAAAATGTACTGAACTGTCATATATATAAAACGATAGTTTACAAATGACAAGAATAACCAGTTATACATAAAACACAACAAAGTAGATTATCGTGAATATCAAAACGATTTTACACTAGAAACTAACATCTTTAACATGTGTAGTCATACGGATTATCTATTTCGGAAATGACATAAACAGAAGGTTAAGATCCCATTTTTATGATTTTCTTAGTTTTCCATAAAAAGTGATGACTAATATATACTTGTAGTGTCTGTTATTACGTTAAGCCCACATACCTTATTCTAACTTTCGGACAGCTCAATCTATTCATTCTACTTGAGTCATATTTTGACCTTGTTAATTATTCGCTAACCAATCTTGACCGTCTTTGTATGAGCGCGTAGGCGTGTATACACTTCTTATCCCGTTACTCATCACATGTCTGTAACTTGTGTGCTCATAAATATTGATTAACGCTTGGCTAAAGGGGAGTTGGCTTACCAGCCATCTTCCACCGCGCGTCAATTTTGATTCGCGTTCTTCTCTTTGCGTCGTTCCTCCGTTCGTTTGTCTAATCAACAATTATACAATATATATGCATTCAAAAGTCCATTCTCGTCATTTGACTTTTTTAATTTCGTTATTAACCAACGCGATTTAAGTCAGTGATAATATACGAGGATAAGGCGCATATATTTCCACAACAAACAATCATTACGATCAATTTGGAGTCAGATCACGTGCTACTACATACTATAACTTATTTTACGATACACAAACTCATGTATTAGATATTCAATCATACCGTTTATTTGAAACGTTAGTTAGACAATCCCGTTGTCCACATCGAAGTAAATATGCTTCAGATGGAAACTACACCCTACCGGTTACATACCGGATGGTTTAATCATTTTAGCTAAGCTACTATTCTATATACAGAAGAGAGTTACTTTCGAAGATAGCCAATTCGCTGAGTAGTGGTAACCTTAATGTCATGCTGTTCGACACGTAGATGCAGACCAAACTTCATCAATATATTCAGCAAAGAGCTGACTTAGCTACATGATTGATTTTACAAAGTAGTGTGCCATGGGGTTCTAATGCCATAAAGATATGAAGTCAGTAATATGTCCATTTTCTTCATCCCAATATAGATTTGTGTTCGATGTGATCTTAAGTGTCATTAAGGGAATGAGGATGATTTTTAATTCTCAATGGTTCACATTGTTAGAAAGTCCCGTTGGAGGAAGCGGGAAATCGGATTAAGGATGAGTTGAACGGTCTGAACTGCTCAAAGGACAACCATTTTAGAATGATCACACGGCATTTCTGTGAACAGTTCTAAAGGGATTAGCTCTGTATTTTAAGGCTTTAACGCCTGATACGGCAACCCATCAGACAAAGTCAAGTACGCCATAATTCGAATGGACCTCCTATATATATATATATATATATATATATATATATATATATATATATATATATATATATATATATATATATATATATATATATATATATATATATAGAGAGAGAGAGAGAGAGAGAGAGAGAAGATCGCTGCTGTCCATGGACTCGTATACAACCTAATTAAACTTATGAAATATGTGCATATTCTCAGGCATAAACTACGCCTAGATACTTTTCGATATTATTGTAGCATAGATTACAAAACAATTTCAATCAAGCATTGTACAAAACAAACAAAAAAAATGATGAAATGAAAAACAAGATGTATATATTCATATTGTATATGATGATCAACTTTTTACCCGGTTATTTTAACAATATAAACAGTACTAAAATACTAAAGAATAATTTGAATAGTCAAAGGAAGAAGAAATAGACTTGTTTAAAAATTAAACAAAAGACTGTTTTAAAACAGAAAAGAAAAGAATTTTTGCAAATCAATTAAAAGCTACATAACTCAAACATACTAACTTACTTATTAAACTCCCAAATATACTAATCACCGTACTTATTATACACAGTATAACAATTACATGAACATAAATGTATAAATTCACATAAATACACATACAAACAAACATACAGACATATCTAAGGCTAATCAAAGATTGTTACCAACACTATTCAGATAACTATGAACATACGACGGGTAATAACTCATATGAGAGCGAACAAATAGGTGTAAAAATAAACCATGGAACAAACAAAATAATTTATGAAAATAATTCATATTAGATATGATCCAAAAAACGAAAGACTATATTGTTGATGTGTATTTGTTTGTGAAAAGAATACTAAACGAATGATCAGTAAGTTTATGACAAGTTCTTCTTTCTTCATGGATTATCATTTCTTTTCATACGACACAGAATGAGCCAATTCCATATGAGTAGGTAGATCACTTCGTAGACAAACCTGTTGACAAAGAAACAACAGCAAATCGGAAAATACTACGACTAATACAAGGTTTTAAAAGATTGTTGAATGGTATAATTAACATCTGGGACAGTATTTAGTTGGATAACCATTTTGTAACCCAAGGACTACTGAACAATCCAAACATTGATCACATGATCCTAGTGAAGAGAAAAAAACTTAGCAATAAACTAGACGACCAATCGATTCATCATCAAACGGTACATTCATAACACAGCTGTAATTAATAAACACTAGTCATTTTTCTAGACCTCGATCAAATATCTAGTAACTTAATCAAGATGGAATTATGTTAGTTGGATAATTAAAAAACATTATCGTTAGACCACCTCCGGTGTAGGGGGTTGAAAAAACTAAGAAGGTTGCTAAACTAGGACGTGATACCAATTTATGAAATTAATGACGGTTAGAATAAACTGTATAGGTTTAAATTATCCAGTTTATGTTTACTCATTATTGTAACCGACGGTTGGAGACACTGGGTGAAATGGCTCAGAATAGGTCAAAATAGTGAAGATACATTCACTATTTTAAAACTCATAGATTCTCTTCTACAACTTACCATTTCATTCTCGAATCACATTATCTGCTGTCGATCTGTTCTAATACTACTGACATCAATACTATTGGCATTATTACATCTCAGTGGTCCAGGACTCGTAGCGACACCTGAAGGTCATGAGTCCGATGACTTGCAAACTCTTAGGTGCAAAGTACTCAGTTGTTTACCAGGATGTAAAAGTTCTATAATGTTCCTTGGTTTACAATAGTACCCCAGGTGAGGTCAGTTTGTGATGAATACAAACCATAAAATTATCCTGTTGATATTTTAAACCATTAAATTAAATAAATATCATCAATTAAGATTTCCCATGAGGCAGTAAATGTTAAAAATTAACTGCCTAAAAAAGAATCATGAAAAACAACTTACTTGACCACATTCCTGGCATGTCTGCATTGTTTTTAGGACTTTCTTTGACCATGGAGGAAGAGCTAATATAGGGATTTTGTTGCGCTTAAATTGATGACCACTTTTTAACAAAGCTTCTTGCATATCAACTGGAATACGTGGAGATCCTTGTGCTTGCAGAGCACGAAGTAAAGCACGTTGAAGTCCTATATCAGGCAATAAGGAAATCATCGGACCTATCCAGTATGGAGTATCTAAAAAATGAGTAATACTCCAGGATTACATAATAAAACACAGTGATATAGAGCACATAGAAATAAAACAATGATAAATAGGGGTCAGCTATGATAGTAATTGTTTGTAGTCAACAGCAGCAGCTATTGCTGTTGACTGACGGAAGCTCGTTCAACTCATCCACATCACTGGTAGCCAGATGTCTGGTGTGAGTGACATAATATGTGAAGTTAATCGGATGCCGATCAGCAACATCTATCCACGTTTTGGACAATAGGCAGTTTGTCGAGGAACAGTTCAAATGGTCTGATACCTTGGAGATGGTGAACTGACTGCCCTGCCCTCCATGGCCGGTGACAACTGATCCATCTAACGAAGTGGAAGTCCGCAAGGAACTCCAACTCATTAGCACGCTCCGACTACCAGGTCTTTAGCAAGAGTTTCACAATTCCATTACGTGAAAATCTTCGTTTATGGTCATACTCACACATCGACGTGACTAAACGAGTTGGAGCCTATACGAACCCAGTGTTTATCTTATGCATCAATGGCCAACAAATACATTATTATTATTTATTATTTTAACGCATAGGTATTGGTACAAGGAGGCAATAAATACATACGCGCCACACGAATCTCGATTTGTTTGAGGGCTGTGATACTGCCCGGGTGCCCAAACCGAGGCAGGCGGTTTTCTTAGGGGATCACACCCCGAGCCTTCGACCTCAAGGTCTGATCCATAAGGCAGTGGAGCATCGTAAGGAGATGCAGTCCCATGGTAGCCGGTGACCAACGATTGGTTCATACGCCATTTGTTCCTTCAGGATACTGGAGCCAGCCCATGTGCACCGGACATTAGCTTTTCGTCCTCTCATTTTCGTAAACAACACCCCCGCCACAAGAAAGCAGTGGGTAGGACTTCCCTGTTAGAGGCTATATACGCATGGCCATGTGAGAGCGTTTCGAGAGGGAGAGCGGACTATCCCCACTCTCGGCCGTACCAGGGCATTTGGGGGCAACAAATCCATCGCCTTAAACGGGTCAATGTCAGGAAATTAGTTGCAGCTATACATCAAACCAATCCCGATATACCAACAATTCAGGCAGAGTGAGGGCATACAACCACCTCACCACAACGTTTTACTCAAGCAGTGAAGTTAGGCAACGTGACCTAATCTCACTATCCCTCTTCCACTTTGCCATCGATGAAGTTTTGGAAACAGCTCTGCTGGATGTAGGGAATGGTGGCGTAAACCCGCTTCCAGGGGAAAGACTTCTCGACCTTGAGTATAGGGACGATGTTGCTTTACTGTGCGATGATACCCAAGTCATACAATCCTCATCTAAACAGTTGGCAATCAGTTTCCGCAGGTATGGCGTGTGCACAGCAACGCCACTTCGATTGTTGTCACTATCTTGAAACACCGACTTCGGTCGCTTGGACATAGCCTATGTCGTTCCAGAGAATTCTACATCGTCCATCATTTGCCGACGCTGGAACCGGTAGGAAAGGGCGGAGAGGTAGACAATGCACAACATGGTATTGAAAAAAGCTGTACAGGACTGGATTCCGTTGGACATTCACGACTCCCTATTTGGGGCATTAGAGATGGTGCAGCACAGTGGCTTGAAATGTTATCAGAAATGGCTCGGATAAAAGGCAGTGGCGATACTGAAGCGAATTCAACTAAAAGAATTTTCCTAGTTGTCTCTTTCCTACCCAAACTGCTGCTTCCATTATTATTAATATAATCACCCTCGTACACTAATTTCTGTTCATTGTTCTTTTTTGTTATACTCACCTTCCATACTCTATCTTTTCACAACAACATTTTTGTTGTATGGCACATGTATATTTGATATCCTTTTGTACTAATATTTATGTTTTCAAATAAGCAATTAATAAATAAGCTGAAAAAAATACGTTGTCAAAATTTCTACAAATTTTTCAGAGGGAACAAAAAACCATTATACAACAATTTACTGTTATCACCTCCATCATCATTCTGATTCACAGTATTGACATTTAGAAGACCAATCAAACCTTCCAAGTAAGCTGTAGCATTGATTTGTTTATAACGATAACGACGCGATAAATCAGCAAATCGAATAAAAGCTGTCTTACCACTTTTATCAAATAAATCATTTTCCACTGTTTGAATTAATTCACGATTACGTGTTTCCATATCCGGTGGAGCTATATATTGAGACTTGAATGAAAATAACAATTATATATATATATATATATAAAGATTGATAGTGACAAATAAATAATACGATGAGTAAATGAATTATGGAAAGACAGTTGATGATACTATCATAATGAAGCGGTGGCTCGGTTGTTAAGAAGCGATGTTATCAGTCATTAGGTAACGAGTTTGAGTAACACATCCAAGCTATTTCATCATCGGAAACCAAATCTTATATTACTAGCTCATACATACAGAATGTATGACAAAGCCGAGTGTGTTAATCTGTACCTGGTAAATGAGTTGTATTAATAAACAATATAACAGTAAAGTTTGTTGTGTCCGATAGGATAGTAAAAATGAACAACTAGTTGTTTAATCATACATGAATGTGAAAAAAAAATCAATTTGATAAGATATGAGGATAAAAAACTTGTACTGCTTTTGTTTAAACTCGAATTCGTAAGACACCTCAAAGAATAAGGCAGTATATAGCGGTACGACAAGTTGTAAATAAAAGATTCGATTATCGTGGGAGCCGTTTTTACTTGAACATTCTAAGAATACGATAGTAGTGTCGCTGAAGATTTTGGTCGCTTGAAAGTAACAGTGATTCTTGGAGCATTCTCATTTCGCCAACATCAAGACCACACTTCCATAAAGCTATTATTGTACCAACATTTCTAAAAGGATAATGCATAACGTTTGCGTTATTAGCATATAACTCAAAATGAAACGTGACTACTTTATTTCCCTAACCAAGGGGAACCTTATTTAACAATCCAGTATTTGATAACACAGCGGCAGTAATCGAACCCTTTCCTTATAATGAAAGACCAAACAATGCATCGAACTATAAATGATTGATCACAGAGTATTGACTAATATCACGTTGGTTTGATCCTTCAGTGTTATCGGAGTTCAATCGATCAAGCTGTAATATGATCGCTCGTCTGTGACTCGATACTGTGCAACCTATATTTAAATGTTAGGTAGTGTAGTGGTAGCATCTCGGACTATGCAGTTGATTGAAGCAAGTTCGAATCCGAAAGAGACCGTCAGTTTCCAGAAGATTGTAGGTACCTCTTGCTGACGAATGTCAACTCGCGTGAAACCCAAGCTTAGGGTTTCATGATGACTACCTTTCAATATACGGAACAGAAAGTAGTTATTCAGTTCTACTAAATAGCGACTTTTCAGACCATATTGGTATGGTTTTGCATCTGGCAAATACGGAATATCGATTTCGTTGCCAATGTAGTGACAAAAATTATTGAGTTAAGTGAAGTGGGACTTATACCTGTGAGTTGTCATTTAAAAGTAAGGTTTTTGGAACTCTGGGTCAGTAAAGTCACCACTAACCCAGTTTTCCTTATAAGCCCCTCTCAAAAGAAATATTCATCAGAGATGTGAGCAACCCAGAAGCGACCTCATACAGTTAAACAGAATGTATGAAAAAGCCGTTTTCAGAGATACTGGTAAAACTACATCCAATAAAAAAAATAAATGTGGCAACATTTATATCTATTCAGTACACACACATAACAAGAGTTAACAGTACACTTAATAAATAAATAAATTCCAGCATACTTTAGCATATAATAAGCATTCAATATCCATGTTATCATTAAATTGAATAGATTTTATTAGTTTGATTAATGAATTAATTTCAGGTTTTAAAGTGTTATTCACAACATTACTGGTTGTATGAGAAGAGTGTTGTTGTTCGGATTGATGAACAGTATTATCAATGATTTTCTTTTTTGTTTGTCGATTTTGTAATTTTTTCGGTATTGTATCATCGGAATTAGTTTTATTTTCAGATAGACATGGAAAATCATTTGTAAGTGATAATGGTTCATGATTAATTAGATTTGTTTGATTAGATGATTGTTGATTAATATTAAGAACATCTACTGTTCGGATATGACTGAACTGAGGTTTTTCCAATGGTGACTGATCATCAACATACTGAAATGAGAGAGAGAGAGAGAAAGAGAGGGAGAAAACGATATCTTGACATGAAATAACTTTAGTTAATCCATGAGAATGTTGGTAAACATGAGGAATAAGCGTGAGCCTTATAAATTTTTAAGATGACATTGACTAATGCTAGAACTAAAATTCAGAGTTTCCAAGGTCCTAATCTGAAATCCTGGTCACAACTTTAACTCTGAATAATTTAATTACGCTTTTGGCATTAAAACCATTCATCTACATTCGATATACAATAATCTGCTTAATGGGTATCATGACTCTGAAAAGCCTTAATTATTTCTGTCCTGTTAAATATGGTTAAAATTTTTATTCCTTGAACACATCGTCAATGATAAAGACAGATTTCAGCAGCATCTGACACAATTTACAGAGTATTAAGAACATAATAATGATTTGATGTTCTACAAATTGTGTATACAAATAAGTATTATTATTATCATATGCATACTTTTCCGTGAGAAGAATGGAAATGATTGATAGTGGTTTATTATTTATTTATTTTAACACAGATATTGGTACAGGGAGGCACCAAAATACATATGCGCCACACAAATCTCAATTGATTTGTGTGAGGGCTGTGATACTGCCCGGGTGCCCAAACCGAAGCAGGTAGTTGTCTTAGGGGATCACACCCCGAGCCTTCGACCTCAAGGTCTGATCCATAAGGCAGTGGAGCATCGTAAGGAGATGCAGTCCCATGGTAGCCAGTGACCAACGATTGGTTCATACGCCATTTGTTCCTTCAGGATACTGGAGCCAGCCCATGTGCACCATTGGTTTGGGGTCCGGTCAAAGCGCCGGACATTAGCTTTTCGTCCTCTCATTTTCGTAAACAACACCCCCGCCGCAAGAAAGCAGTGAGTAGGACTTCCCTGTTAGAAGCTATATACGCATGGCCATGTGAGAGCATTTCGAGAGGGAGAGCGGACTATCCCCACTCTCGGCCGTACCAGAACACTTGGGTAATTTATTACTACTTTTCTTAATGAATATCTTAACTTTTGTTAGATATTACTGATCATGTCAGCTTGGTAATTACGACTATAATACGGATAACATAAGAGCATTGATCCTCTCTATCACGAGGACAAACAATAACCATAATAAATGAAATATAACGTTATGTTTAGATGAATTCCGCATAATATTGACTAATTGTCTACAATAGTAATGGTCAAAATAAAACAAACACTTAGAAAGGGTTCGAATTATCCCATTTTTGATTTTTTTTTTTCGACCAGGTTTAGTTGACGTACATGCATCCTGATTAGACGACTTTGGTTGTGGCTATTTTGTAACAGATATTTATAATACATAACTTGTGGCTAACAATGGAATCTGAAATGAGACTTCGTGTTACTTGGGACTCAAACTGCAAGCATCTGTATTTTAGTATTGATATTTACAAGTTTTAGTGAAAAGTACTGAGTTCGAGTGTTGATGTAGATATCAATACTACGTTGTAGGAACATTCATTCGACAAGCCCAAAATAGGACAAAATGAGCCAGCTCAGACCAAATGCTTCTTTACATATCGATAGTTTTTCACAAATATCTTTGAACCCTTTCATTTCTGACTTCTTATTTGACTGGGTTCGCATCCTTCGATTACAAAGGTGCTATGTGTAAAGGTGTTGTCAAACTCCGGATACATATGGCATCTTTACATACAACACCTAGATCTCACTGACAGCCATAAATCCAACAATTCTGGAATACATACTTGTTTATTAACTAACCTTCTCGCTATCATCCCTTAAAGTCATACCACCATGCTCATCCAATTCATTGTTTATTGTTCTCGAGTTGTTTCTGGGTTTTGGTTTCTTTGTATTTTTTAATTTGGTTGTGGCTGTTAATGGCTCAGTTTTCTTCTTTATTACATCAGCCGCTGGTGTTTTAAACACCTTTGATTTATTTTCTAAAACTGAATTTGAAGTTAAATTGATGGTACGATTTGAATGACTAGGATTGGAATTTGTTGGAAGTGACGGAAAATCCGAAGATGTAGGCGTCTGCAGAGAAACTGATTGAGGAAATGTGGATTTAAGTTGTTCTTCCGAAGATATATTACGGCTTGTTTTCGGCCATCCTGACGAAGGACTACTACTACAAGCTATCACAGGAGAAATGTTACCAAAGAAATTAAATTTGGTCGACTATATATAGAAAAAAGATTTTCTAGAATTTATACTTTAGCAGCAACAGACAAACGAATTTCAGGAGAAACCCAAACGATTTGACCCATTTCTCTAATAAAAATAACACAAACTGTGTTAATTTAAATATTTATTGTCAAAGGGTGTTATGCAAACTGGTGGATTCAACGTTCTACACGACGAAACAACGGGTTAGACAAGCACTGGAAATCAACAAGCAACAGGTGTTTGGTCCCAGTACACAACTCAGCGGTGCGCACCCAAACATGGTGGGGATTGAACCCAGGATACGGACGGTTCGTGAACTACTGAGTTGCCATCCGAATATTTACGTTTTTAATTTTAACTAATTTGTGTAATACAAATAAAGAGGATGTCAACAGATTGTGGTTACTCAATAACTTGGAGGTTCTGAGGTACGATCCCTTGTAAGGTCGTAGGTGCGCACTGCTGAGTTCTAGTGTTTTATGGTTTTTAATAAGTAATTGCGTTCTGAATTCTAACAACAATAATGGATATATCTGACTTATTATGGCTGATTTCGAGTTAAGTTATTTAATTTGCTGTTACTTATTCATTATGAAACCTTATAAGGAAGTGTACAACTGTCCAAAGTGACTATCATAAACTTATTAATCGAGGCCAAGTTTACTAATAAAACCTTTTAAAACCCATGGCAACTACATAACTATAAAGATTTTCATCACATCAGTTCTTATACAATACAACTGAAACTGAATAACGGATGATCTAACTGCTTCCGTTATCAAACACGGTTAGCCATATTGTCTTGTTAACTCTCAACGACGATTTCACACAGATGCAAATAAGAAGACAATCCAAACACATGTTGTACTCATCATCTTCAGTATACAACACGAGTACGCTATTTACTAATCAAGATAGGAAATTTGTTGTTTTCACTATCTATTATTAACTTTATTAGCTACGAATTCGTACGCTTGACTTTGAGTCACATTCCAAGTGTGAGGGCTAGTGATAATATCGAGTTGTTTAAGCCAAAGTCGATGAAGTGAGATTCAAACGTGTGACTTAGTGACTGAAAGTTGAACGCTGAAACCACTGGATTTTTTTAACAGATAAGACGTTAGCTTGACAGTTTCTCCACCATTATGAGTAAAAACCGAAGTTAATTTCGAAGAATCCGACACTATCACAAAACAGGGGTGAAGAGGTGCTCTATTGTTTAGGATGTTTGGGTTTTGATGTGTGGGAGAGAATGATCATGATTGGTTGTCTGTTTAGTCAGACATGTAGACAGTCTGACTGGTGTCAGATAAGTTATATATTCCCTTATCCATATTATTGTGGCACAGTCAGTCAGTCAGCTGCAACGTAGGACCAGGCACGTATATGCATCGGTCCAAGTTGCCATATGTTTTGCGCACTAGAATCGTTGGCTGTGGTGACAATTGAGGAGGAAGTCAAAAGAGGGAGTTTAGATTTGAAAGTCGATGTAAGAGGAATAATAGGAATTGAAGAGGTAGGTTGATTATGAATACAGTGGTCTTGAGTGCTGTTAGAGGTATGAGGGAGGTTATCACTTCCCGGTTGCCCACACCGTGGAAGGGTTCTGCTGGAGGTACCTGAAAAGGAAATTGGATTAGAGGTGGTCATAGTGACCTGAGAGCGTGACCGCAGTGCCCAAGGGACAGCTGCTTGAGGTCGGTCACACACGACCTTTTTATGAGTAATTTTTGTGTTAGCTCCGTACTTGTTGAGACCTTACCGCCGGAGACGGATATCCATGGGATAAGGCGAGGTGTGTATTTTTAGGGTCGACCTTTTCTAACTCCTCGCCTCCTTTTGAGAAGACAGCATCGCTGTTATGCTGGTTGTCTGAAAGAAACACCTTACTGCTGTCACACATCTGTACAGTCAGCAGTACGTCTTCGCCTTCGGACCTTGGTTTTGTTGCTTTTAGTCTTACCGCTCTTCAACCGACCTGTCTGGCATGGTAGGACCTTGAGGAACGGTTGTTCCAGCCAGTATAGCTCAGTTATTTATTTATTTATTTATTTTAACACATAAGTATAGGTACAGGGAGGCACCAAAATACATATGCGCCACACATATCTCAATTGATTTGTGTGAGGGCTGTGATACTGCCCGGGTGCCCAAACCGAAGCAGGTAGTTGTCTTAGGGGATCACACCCCGAGCCTTTGACCTCAAGGTCTGATCCATAAGGCAGTGGAGCATCGTAAGGAGATGCAGTCCCATGGTAGCCGGTGACCAACGATTGGTTCATACGCCATTTGTTCCTTCAGGATACTGGAGCCAGCCCATGTGCACCATTGGTTTGGGGTCCGGTTAAAGCGCCAGACATTCGCTTTTCGTCCTCTCATTTTTATAAACAACACCCCCGCCACGAGAAGGCAGTGAGTAGGACTTCCCTGTTAGAGGCTATATACGCATGGCCATGTGAGAGCATTTCGAGAGGGAGAGCGGACTCTCCCCACTCTCGGCCGTACCAGGGCATTTGGGGGCATAGCTCAGTTGCTTCGTCACGATAGGCAAGCCCGACCACCACGTCAAGGTAGCAACAACGGCACACTTATTATCGATTGTTCATTGTGGATTGTGTCGGTCTTTGGTGTGGAAATATATTTACGTTCTAGTCAGGCTAATTAAGTGTTCATGATCTGAGTCGTGAAGTCCTGTAGAATAGACACTGGGAGGGATCTAGTGTAGATAATCATTTAAGACGAAATAAATACCGAGCGTTATAAAAGGTTTCAACCACTAAGCTGTAAGTTCAAATTGCGCACCACCTATTTTGGTTTGGGCAACCAGATAGTATATCATTAGCCCTCACACTTAAAGTGTGATTTATGCTCAGGTATCTAATCAGTGAGTTAACTTAATACCACATCAGTCTGATGATTAACTAATCAATGCAAGCAACATGTACATGAAACATACCAGAAGCATGATTATTTGATCCAAGAGTTGGAAAGCTAAAATGATTAGATGTATCAGTCTGAGGATTTTGTATAAGTTGAGAAGCACTACTTCTAACCCATGTGGGAGGATTGCCTAATAATAGAGAAAAAATGAATGAAAAGGACAAAAAACTACGAAAAAACGCCATATATAATATATAAGGAACACTGAAAATAACAATTCAAGCACATTCGGAAGACTTATACAACTGATTAAAAAGAACGAAACTTATTCAAAAATTATAAATCAGTCAGCTATAACGTAGGATCAGGCACCGGTCCAGGTTGCCACACTTCATTAACACAATAAGATGAACACCGAATTCATAGAAGTAGTTAAATCAATGGTGGTGTGTATAAGGATATAATACAGGAAGAAAGAATTAATTTGTAGAAAGAAATATATAAAGGAATTCTAACGTCACAGTTTAAAGGAAGACAGAGAGTGTAAACACCTACGCCATTGTGATCGATTCTGAGCCATGTCACCCAGAGTCTCCAACCAGTGGTTATATGTTTATCCACCTTGCTTTCCGTTAGACGTTTTTAATATGTAACGTTTAATTAAATTACTTCATAGTTAAATCGAAGTATATAGTGAGTTCGGATGTATAACTCATTGGTTGAAATCCAAAATGATCATTTAATATACATGTATCAACTAGATAAGAAGGCTGATAAATTATTCGATTGTTTTCGTAAATGTCTGTCTTACTTATGTGTGGAGAAGATGAACATAAAAAAATAGTTAAGTTGTCTAGTCAATTCAATAACTCAAGAAATGTAAATGATTTTATAAAATGAGCAAATAAAACAACTTCTTTAAATAAGATTTACACAAAAAATTAATTAACAGACATCTTACCAGTGGAAGTATTAGTTGATTGTGTTAAACTAGGAAAATCTTCAGATGTAAGACGATCTTTATTAGTAAAATTGATATTAGCAACACGAGAAACCCAACTTCCACCCATTATTGGTCGTTTATTTTGTACAGAATTATTTGTATCATTCATCTCGTGTTCTGTTAAAGTAGTGGTTGACTCCCTAAGTCTTTGTACAGGTGTTTGAGGATTGCTAGACTCATTTGTTGTTAAGTGAGAACTTGTGGTGATTGGTCTGGTCGACTGAAGTGAAGGGAAATCTTCACCGGTCCATTCGGAAGGATTAGGTCGTCGATATGTTACACTAGGATTGTCTTGTGAAGTAAGTCTACCATCAGATGCATCTACAATTACAAATACAAAGTCGAAATAATTAATTTTAAACGATCGTAGAGCAAGCAAGTGAACCAACAGTTAACGTATTATAATAAACACCTGAAGCTCTTCTAGGATTACTGCCGGTCTCAAGCCCGGGTAAAAAAGGAGGGTTGGGCCCCAAATGCCCTGGTACGGCCGAGAGTGGGGAGAGTCCGCTCTCCCTCTCGAAATGCTCTCACATGGCCATGCGTATATAGCCTCTAACAGGGAAGTCCTACTCACTGCCTTCTCGTGGCGGGGGTGTTGTTTATAAAAATGAGAGGACGAAAAGCGAATGTCTGGCGCTTTAACCGGACCCCAAACCAATGGTGCACATGGGCTGGCTCCAGTATCCTGAAGGAACAAATGGCGTATGAACCAATCGTTGGTCACCGGCTACCATGGGACTGCATCTCTTCACGATGCTCCACTGCCTTGTGGGTCAGACGTTCAGGTCAAAGGCTCGGGGTGTGGCCCCCTAAGACAACTACCTGCTTCGGTTTGGGCACCCGGGCAGTATCACAGCCCTCACACAAATCAATTGAGATTTGTGTGGCGCATATGTATTTTGGTGCCTCCCTGTACCTATACTTATGTGTTAAAATAAATAAATAAATAAACAGGGTCAGCAACTCCATCCCTTAGAAAAAAATTGGTTAAAAAGTCCTAACGATAAAAAAATAAACTATTTAAACTCTGTCCAGAGGGTTGAAGGATCTTCATTCAGAAGAATTATGACGTCTCATGGTGAAAGCTGAGGTTATCCGGAAATCACAGGGTCGATGCCCCTTCTAACAACCAGAGCAACAATTAATATAGGTACATGGAGTGTTCGAACAGTGTGGGAGACTGTGAAAACCAATCAAATAGCTAAGGAAATGAGGAGATACAAATTGGCGATGTTTGGAATAAGTGAAACTCACTGGACCTAAGCTGGACAGAAAAGGATAGATTCAGGAGAGATGTTGCTGTACTTCAGTCGCGAGCAGAAAAATGCTACGTACACTCAGGGAGTTGTTCTGATCCTGTTCAAAGAAGCATGTAATGCACTTATAGGACGGGAATCTCATGGATCCAGGATCATCAAAGCATCCTTCAAAACAAAAAAGGGAATCACAGTGAGTATTATCCAATGTTATGCACCCACCAATGATGGCATCGTTGACAATAAGGATCAGTTTTATGAGAGGTTGCAATCAATCATAGAGAAGTGCCCAAGAAAGGATCACACCATCCTGATGAGAGACTTAAACACTAAAGTCGGGATGGACAACACCGGATATGAAGACATTAAAAGATGACATGGACTGGGAGAGAGAAATAAAAATAGGGAGGTTTGCAAACTTAAGTGCACTAAACAAATAAATGGTACAATATTTCCACACAAACGAATACACAAATCTACATGGGTCTCACTGGATCACACTACACAGAAACAGACTGATCACATTTGTATCAATAAAAAAAATAAGATCAATGGACGACGTGAGAACCAGGAGAGGAGTTGATATAGCTTCAGATTACCACCTGGTGGTTGTCAAAATGAAACCGAAGGTAAAGAGACACAGGACAACTGAAGAAACAGCATTAGAAAGATTTAATACAGCCTCTTTTCAACATATTGACGAACTCAACAAATCCAAGATAGCCTTACAAGATCTACTCGAAGAGCGAACTACTATGGAGAATAACTCGAAAGGGATCAAAGAAGCAATAACTTCGTGTCAGGAGGTTCTGGGTTGGAATGAGCATCATCATAAAGAATGGATTTTATCAAAACCATGAACAAGTCAGAAATTAACAACCGAACAAGAACAGAGAAAGTCAAGGCAAAACTCGAATACACAGAAGCAAACAAGAAAGTGAAGAGGAGTATTAGAGCCGACAAGCAGAAAGACGAAGATTTAGGAGTAACAACAGAAAAAGCTGCAAGAGAACGAAATATGAGAGCTATAAATGACTGGTCGTGAACAAATCAAATCTTCACACTACGGATCATTGTTGAGCAGTCAGTTGAATGAAATTCGTCACTAGACATCAACTTCCTTGACTATGAGAAAGTGTTCGACTGTGTGGTTAGAAGAATCTTATAGAACCTTATTCGACACTGTAATGTACTTCAGAGGATCTTCAACATAATATGAAGTTCATACAACGGACTACGACTCAAAGTCGTGCATTAAGGATAGCTCACGGATCCATTCCAAATGAGGACAGGTGTCAGGCAAGGATGCTTGCTCTCACTCATTCCCTTTCCTCTAGTGGCCGACTGGGTTATAGAAACTCTACGTCTCAAAGGAAGCACACAATACAATGGACATAGTGAATCTGGACATCACATAACCTAGCTTTTTTATTCCACATCATTATTATCACCATCTTTCATTTAATAATTTGAAAACTAATTGTAGTGTGCTTCATTTTTCTCGAATTTATTCAATAAATTTACCGACAGCAATTTCAACAACGAAACATTGAACTTCAGTGAAGAATATATAGTTTACGTCATGAAGTGTTGATGTTACATTGAGTCTACCATCTATTTATTACGAAAAAACTGAGTTTAGATCTTTGTTTCGATATTTGTGACTAGTAAAGTTTTTGAACTCGAATACGCGCATGGCATGTGCAACTAGGAACCTGGAACATGTACATCACTTTAGGTTGCCATATAACATTAGAACAGAGAGATAAAAGTATCAAGACATCCCAGAGTGAAGTAGTAAAAAAGATTAGGTGTGAAAAACAAAGTGTAAAGAGATTTTGGCACACAGGTTCCAAGTGAAGACAAAGAGTGTGAACTTGTGAATGCGAATTATTCAGAACCCTGTCATCAAATGAAGTCTCTAATCATTGCTTGAAATAATTAAGCGGACTCCGATTAGGTAGTCTACACTTACTAAGACGACTCAATCCAACTGTTAATGACTTCATAGATTCATGCTACGTTTTAATTTGCTCCTGGTATTCCTTAAATCTATATCTATACCGCACAACATCGACTGTAAAGATAGATGATGATTAGACATATGTAGAACGCCTTCAGCTAATGACGTAGTAATTGATTTATCATATTTTCCTAGTAATCTAAGCCTAACCTCGACATTGATCATTTGATGGTCCTAAAATACACGAGCAATCCTTTGAAGAACTATGATTGAATAATAGCAACCTAAAAAAACTTAATGTTTCACAACCATAAAGTAGAACAAAGTGAACTGTACAGTAAAGTCATTCCTTGGTTGGTGGATGGATATCTCGTATACACCGCTGGTGATGAATTTTGGCGAAAGCCAATCCAGCGTTCTGAACGAGCATAAGAACTTCGCCAAACACCAACTCATCAGGACTGATGAGATTTGACCAGCTAAGTCAGTCAGTAACAAAGTAGAACTTCGTATGTACGTACATCAGTTCGAGTTTCCATACCACGTTAGCACAGAGATGCAGTTGTCAATTCGAATTCCGTAGTGGTAGAGGTAGTGAGAATATAAGCAGTAATCGGAAAGATTAGGGTTTGAAGATGTTATTCAAGGAGTATAATCCAGTGAAATAAATATGGAAAGAGAAAAAAAGACAAGGAGAATTCAGATTATTGCAAGATAATTAGGACCCTGCGGATGCACTCGATCTTTGCGGTGAACTATTAAAAATAGTCGAAAGCTGTGTACCTGGGTAGCTTCGTCAGTGCTGTAGGTTATATGGTGGATGGGACCAAGTTAAATATAGTGTAAGACAGAAGGGCTTGAGCCGGCGTTAGCTTGGCTGTAAAATAATAAGTTTACAAAGCCTTGGTAAGAGCATTTTGCTCAATATTAATGAAATTTAGCCCCTCCCCCCTAAACTGAGGACGTTTTGAGACTATATTTGATTATAATTATGGTTTTGTTTTCAATTGAACTGTTTCCAATGAGATTCTTGCTTATCTATTTACTCATAAATTGCATACACTTTTCTTTTTCAGTTTTATCAGTTTACTTGCGTTGTAATTTTTTGTAAGATATTACACCAGAACTTATGTGGTAAAAATAAGTAACGAAAATTCAGTGTCAAAAACTATCTATATTACACATTCTCACAGTATTTCGATGCAATGGATTCTGGTAGCTAAAAGATAAAAATTATTCAGTTGAAATTTTACACTTCACAAAAATTACTCAATCACTGACTTAGACAGAAATAAGACATACCAAGAACGCCATCCACACTATATACATCAGGAAATATTTGGTCACGTCGCCTGAAGGCAGAATCAGCAGATGTTACGTGACGTATAGAAATCGGAAGCCAGGAGTTGGGATCATTGGCCACTTCATTTGGATGTTCTTGAAAACGATGCAAGCCTAAACGATCCTCGGTTGCAAAACATGAAATACGTTGTTGAGCCCGACACTCGGAACATAGATGATGAGATTCACCGTAATGGTCTAATAATTCACACTGCTGTCTAAAATGAGTAATATGAACAGACAAAAGTATCAACAATAAGCAGTAAACCTGTAAAAAATCAGTGATATTTGGTGAATTACAAAGTATGACGCCCTAAACATGAAATACGATTTCAAGACGAAATTATTAAAGATGAAGCAAAATAATAACAATAATGAGTGATTAAGGTAACGCTAAGACTGAGGATACGAGAAATCCACATTTTGGTTTCCGAAAAATACTCATAATATAACTACTCATCAAATGCAGTGCCATATGTAACTAGGGTTTGCGTGTGGGTGGGATCGATCAGCGGAAAATAAGTATACCAATGTAGGATATCGCAAAAGTTTTAGTTAGCAGCACATGAGAAATAATGGAAGTGAGAATTCCCGAAGCATTCAAGAACTGAGGTTGAAAATATTTATCACTTAATAATTAAAAAACCGAGCTATAATAGATGTAAAACTAACTTAATAGAAATCTGTAATTATTAATTATATTCAGCTCATAAAACTAAACCACAAAGCTCCTATTTCCCTACGCCTAAGAAGTTTCCTTTAGATAGCTATGTGAAACACGTAGATGGAAAGGATGAATCTGTAATACCAATAGCCAATGCAGTACAACGATAGAAAACAAAAGTATTTTTAATGACGATAATTTAGTTTGAGGCTCTTTGTCACCAGAAGTCGTCCATAGTATGTGCAAATCTCAAACCCGGTAATTAATTTGTCCCATTGTTAATGAAACTAATACTATCACTATTAATCTAGAACCGTCTTGACAATTCATTCTGCTTGTGTTAATTATGTGACAACCGACTGACAATTTCAAAGAAACAAAATACTAAATGAACAAAATGTAAAAACAAGGTGTTATGAGAGAAATTGCGGGTCTTTTGCGGATGGAATAGTATAAATTTATATTGCCTTACCTGAAAACCACAAACTTTCCTGTAGTCATGCAAAGATCACATAAAAAGTGAAGATCACGAATATGGGTTATCAAGTCTTCCATTTCATAGAATCGTTCATGACAGAAATCACACAAAGGATGACCTTTCTTCTTGTTTTTATCCCATGTCCGATGTTTCGTAAGGTCAGCTGGTTTCATAAGCACGAATTCACATGGCAAAAGCTAAACCGGTTAGTGAATTACGCATGTAAATACCCTGGCATATCGAATACAGAGATCGCAATAAGAAAGCTGATGCTCCAAAGTAGTGTGTCTATTTAAGGCAGAGAGAGACTTTTTTTCTTCACCACAAACAGGGCAGATTGATTTGAGCATGTTTAGGTAGTGCTGTTCAATCTCGACATCAGGAAACATAAAATCAAACTTTGAGTCGTGTCGAAGTAAGGACACGTCAATATTGTCAAACGGAACGAAATTTCTCATTATCGCGACCTTTAAAATAAAAAATAATTGAAGTTATTATCACTTACTCTGTTAATATTCTGCCGACATGTAGGACATTGTGAGAATTCGGGCTCATCAGCGCTTCCGAACTTTCGCAACTTCAGCACACACTTTGTACATGTAGGATGATTACATGATCCGTATGCAAAGTAGTCAATATCATCATGACAAATTGGACACAGTTTACCAACTGACTCAACAACCTCAGACATCCTCCACGCAAATAATGGTATTTAATGTTCCGCTGAGACCTTGTCTGGGACCTTGAACTACGATGTTCAAAAACTTGTAAACTCATATGTGTCAAATGATTATGATGGAATGAAAGAGGCCATCATTTGATCGCATCTTACAGGACCAAACTTCCATTGAAGAGCCGAAAGTGTACCCACAGCCCATCATGAGCAGTAGAGCATCTGATTCTAGGAAACATGTTGAGACAGCCTAAGTAAGGTTTTCAAGGGGTGCCCGGAAGTGTTTAGGATGCTTTAAGTCATGAAAAGATCAATTATGAGACGGAATCACTCGATCCGGTGGCGACTTAGTGATTTTTGGGTACCTTGGGAGAGTTTCGATTTCAATCTTTGGTATTCATGGCTGACCATTGGTTACGTTCCAGTGTATTTTTATCTTTTTGAAATGAGTGAGAGACCACTATGTTTTCACATTTGAGACAATGTCGAATGAGGCTGACAAGGACTATTTGGAAAGTCCTGCTGGTTAATTGGGTAAAAATTTTCCTGAATGTTGTTCATCCCTGCACCGCAGTCATCGTATTGGTTTGTGGGAATAGATGAAGCAAACTTAACTTGTAAACTTTCATCGTTGCATCCAATTTATACAAACAATGTTTTAAGTAAGGAATTTTGTTCAAGTTGACTTATTCTTGCTCACTATGCCCGTAGTGTCGGTTATTATGTTAAGCCCATATAACTTATTCTAGATTTCGGACAGGCCAATCTATTCATTCTACCTGAATCATATTTTGATCTTGTTAATTATTCGCTCATCAATCTTCACTGTTTTTATATGAGCACATATGTGTGTACATTTCTTATCCTATTGATCACACATTTGTAACTTATTCTTATGTACCTATAAATATTGGTTCATGCTTGACTATAGGGAGTTGGCTTACCAGCCATCTCCACTGCGCGTCCGTTTTGCTTTAATCTGTTCCATTCGCTTAATATACAACATATATGTATTTCAAAGTCCATTCTCGTTATTTGACTTATTTAATTCCGTTACTGACTAACACGATTTAAGTCGATGATTATATATGAGGATAGGTGATAACAAACATTCATACGATCTACTTGGAGTTAGATCTCGGGCCACTAAAGTGGAGAGTCGTCAACAAACACCCTCCAATCTAAATGACGACAAGACAAGGGGGCCCACATGCTTAGATAATAATCATTACTTTGTACTGACTTTATTGTCTGCTATTTTCCAACTGCTTACCAGACTTGTGTTTAGGTTCACTCCTCAGGCTCTTGATAAGTTGTAGCTCTCGTAAATGTGTTGTGTGCGGTGAATGGAATGTTCGAATGTCTTTCTGGTAGATCAGCAGCAGAAATGAAAAATCCCATCAAGCGTCCTCGTTATGCTAAGAATGGAAATATCAGTCCAACCATAATTAAATGATCATCGAAGGAAAAGTCAAGATTGAAATGTCGACATGCTAACAGATAATAAACGGCAGTGTAACTAATCACTGCCAACTGCCAAACTGAAAGTAGCGAAAGAACAAGGAGAAATGACAAACGAATCCGTTTTTAAACAATTACGGCAAGTTTTCCTACTGGTGTATCGATACTGGCACGATTTCAATAACGTCTTTTTTTAGTTGGATATTCTAACTGACTGGATTTCGACCACAAACCGCAGATCTCACACGATACTAACAACAACGAGATCACGATACGATGGTACTAGCGTCAGAAAACGGAATGCTGGCGCGAACAAACAATATAAATCGCTCAAAACCTCATCCAAACGTTTGAAATTCAAACTCAAGTTGTTAATAAAGTTTTTAGGCTCAGTTTCACTAACAAAAATGAAGGACATGACAGGGTGGGCTGGATACTCTAAAGCCAGATAAAACAAAGCTCTCAAATCATAGGATTAAACTGAGCAAGTCTTGATATATAAAGACTTTGTTCGATAATATTGAGGATACTCATCTACGGACATAAATTTTCAGGATGTGTTTCATTATGCTTTTCAAGAAAGGTGTGGAGGAGCATTTCATAAACCCAACTCGTATTTACTACTTATACCAGTGAAGGTCCGTTTAAGACAACCTCAATCTGACTAATTTAAGGGTTCCTCATTCTACATTATTTTCCAAATTTGTACATCTTACCTTCTCAAACACAGTCATTTATTGTGGCATTTTGCATTTCAAACATAGTGTTACCATTCTTTAAGGTTCGTAATAGACTGGGACGAGATTTGCACTTCTCTTTAAACCGAAACCCGCTATTGTAACCGAGGAACAAAACCCCAGAGATAAAACTTTATCCGTTTCACAGTGACTTCAATGCCCGAAGATCCAAAATGAACTAAAAAGACGAAAACAACATGATAAGAACTTAAAGACACTTTCCACAGTTTGGTGAGTAATCTGAGAAAGTTACGCGTTTCGTTTTAGAATGGATTACATTTCGCTGCCCTAGTGGTGAAAATTTCGACATTATTAGCTCGGATTGAGTTGACATCAAGACTAACCGTGTAAACACGAGTCCATTAAGGCGAACAAAGTGTGGAATTACTTTTCGAACCACAGAGAAAAGCTGCATAGTTTAGAACGTGACGCTCATTTACCAAAAGTACTCACACCACTCAACTTTCCGCTCCCAACCGACGTCTTTTCAAAATCAGAATCTTCCAACCACTAATCTTCAGGAAAATCTAATATTTAAACGCGACTAACTTACCAATTGTTCGACAGTTCAAAGTCGTTAAGTAAAAGTCAAATTTTGTATTTTTTCGATTCAGTTTCCATCTGCAGTACTTCCAGATTATTTTCATGTATCGAATCAATGTCAAATTCTTTTCTTCGTCTGCAAATTCATGAATGAGAAATATGGTTGTTGATATTGAGAGTGTTCACAGTAAGCCCGAATGGTTTGATGTGAAACTTGAATGTTTAGATTAGTGCAACTTCCTTATTACTGATGACTCTTGATAACTATAGGATATTTTTCTTATTTTGAGTTAAGACAGATTTGCTTTTTTTAACGTAAAGGACAGGTTTTCAGTCTGTCATTTACAGAATGATAGTTTTTTCGGGCAAGCACTGCAACTGTTTGGTTAGTTACCAGGGATTTTATATTATTTTCTCAACCTAGAAACTCTATACATCCCGACACTGCTTAGACTAACATATAGGAATTTCATGATTTAGCACTAAGCTCTAGTTGCTAAATGGTCTTCTGAGTGTAGATCACCAACGTAGATGATCTATGTTGAAATGATTGGAGGTTTACTCGAGTTAGACGTGAGTGGTGTGACAAACTAGCCAACGTCGAAGTCACACTTCGCGGTCAGCACCTTACGTGGATTACCCCATTGATGTATCAAGGTACTATAGATGCTTTGAAGACTGTGCAACACAAAGGACGTTATTACAGAAATATATTAGTTAAAGTAGATACAAGCAAAGGTGAGACCACTGCCTCATGGGCCAATCCATGGCGTACGATTAACTGGTGCGCGTTGGTTGTCATTGACATTGACGAGGATCGATGATTTGTTCGATATTCAATGACCCAACTGCTGAATGATTTGGCTAGGGCTCAGTGGAATTTCACTGGCTTTATCAAGATCACGGATAATTAAAACGAGATGACCAATTGACGACATAGCTCGGTTCATGCGGTATTATGATTTCAATATGACCTTCACAAAACTGTTCTGCTCAACATATAATATTCTCCTGATGAGCTCTTCTTTTCTCCAAGTGTACCAAGGGAACAGGAAAGCTCAGTAAATAAGCCATAGTTAGTCCGTTAAGGTAATCATTAGATGGTGTGACTTTGATGCGGGATTACTTAAACTAAGTCATATAATTCCCCTCCAATGGTGGTGAACATAGACAATATATTTATTCATAATGATGATAGCTGATCATTTACATTAGTAAAACTGATGTGCTCAACAAACCAAAGAAATAAGTTATTCGGGTACTATATGAATAAATTTCAGATAAAACCTTCGAAATATTCGAAGTATCGTTATTTTTAACTAAATATCAGATAATTTATCATATTAGAGATTCAGTTATGTCAACAAGAGAATCATCTATCAGATTATAATTGAATCTTACTACTGAACAATAAGTGAAATATCTTATTTGTATGTATATGAATATGAATAATCAAATAATAAGTAGATTTATAAAGATTGTAAAGAATTTGACAAGTTATATAATCAATTAGCCAGCTATAATTACTTTATTTCAAATGACAGATCAATATTATTTAAGTACAAGTGTTTTATAAATGAATACTTCACTCAAAAACTATTGAAAATTGGAGAGTTCACGGTATATTTCTAAAGTTTTAACCGCATAAGATGTATAGTGAATTACCAAGACAATTTACTTAAATGATAGTATTGTAATGGACAAGAACACAAATGGGGACAATCAAATATATTTGAATACAACATTACAGAACATCTTAGTAAAATCTGAGCACCATACAGTAAATACTTTATTTGTAAAATGTTAATCAACCGTATCAGACTTCATTGTTTTTTTGTTTCCACATCAATCATTCTTTGTTTACGTTCTCTTTTCTTTGATCTTCTTAACATTCTATATCCAGGCATTTCAAGTTCGATTGATCATACTTACTAATTCTTCCTGTCTACATCAGTAGCACATGTCACAGTATTATTTGTTAAACTAAGCATCAAAACTAATCTAACAGGTCTATTTGACAAGTGGATTATTCTATTTAACTTATTCAAACTTGATGGCGAAACTCTGGAAGATGTATAATCCTTAACGTACCTGAGAAACATCATCGATGAACAAGGAGGATCTGATACAAACGTAAATGCGAGGACTGGCAAAGCAAGGGCTACATTCCTACAATTTAAAAACATATGGAACTCAAAACAACTTTCAACCAATATCAAATTCAGAATCTTTAATACGAACATTAAGATAGTTCTCCTGCACGGAGATGAAACTTGGAGAACTACCACAACCATCATCAAGAAGGTACAAGTATTTATGAATA